AGCTGATCGATGTTTCTCTCTTATCGATGTTTCTAACTGTCTATCCCTCTCTCTTCCTCTCTGTAAAAAGTCAATAAAATATATTTAAAAAAAAAAAACACATCCTGTCCTTTGAAGGTGTGTTTTTTTCCCTTTAGACTTTTGCAAATTTGATTCAGAAAATAGCTCAATTGGTTTGTTATAGAGCAAGGAGTGTGTGTGTGTGTGGGGGGGGGTATAGATAGATTTATGACCATTATTTTAAGTTGTATGCCTCAGCATCGAGAACAGATGAAGATGTGGATACTGACTAAACACACACACACACATATACACACATACACATACACACACATACATACACACATACACACACATTTTATTGATTTCAAAGAGGAAGGGAGAAGGAGAGAAAGATAGAAACATCAATAATAAGAGAGAATCAGTGATTGGCTGCCTCCTGCACTGGGGATTGAGCCTGCAACCCGGGCATGTACCCTTGACCAGAATTGAACCCGGGACCTTTCAGTCCGCAGGCCGATGCTCTATCCACTGAGCCATACCAGCTAGGGCCAGTTCAAGGTATTTTGTAGTTTCAGTTCCTCCAGTCAGTGTCTGAAGTGTTAGAAAAATGACTGAAACAATTTCCAAAGCATCAGGAATTTCCATTTTCACCCAACGTAGTCTTGGTTTCCTTCCAACAGTTCCCTGTTAAATAAGAGAAGGAAAATCTCTGCATGAAGTTTTCTTCCTACTTCGAAGGTTGATAGTGATACACTTACAGGTCAATAATGTGTGTGTAGAAGCCTTGCCTCCCTAACCTTGTTTATAAACCTACCGACCCTCACCAGGACAATGCCCTCCTTGCACTCAGCTTGTTTGGGCGAAGCTGCTATTTCCTGATGTCCATACCTCGGGCAGTTGTTTGATTTTTAATAACACCAGTGCACTTCTTTGGGGGGGGCGGTGTCTAAGACATGATTATTTAACATTTGCCAAAATGTTTATAATAGTGTAAACATCTTCAATCCGCCAACTGGATTGGGACTTCTTTTGTGCTCTTGATTTTTTTCTCAAAATTGCTTTTTGTCAAACACATCCATATGGAATATAATTGTATGTACTGCTATTTATTTATTTATTTGGTCAGGGCTGTACTGCTATTTAAAAACTAAAGGGTTGCCCTATTCGGTTTGGCTCAATGAATAGAGCGTCAGCCTGCAGACTGAAGGGTCCCAGGTTTGATTCTTGTCAAGGGCACATACCTGGGTTGCGGGCTCGATCCCCAGTAGCGGGTGTGCTGGAGGCAGCCAATCAATGATTCTCTCTCATCATTGATGTTTCTATCTCTCCCTCTCCCTTCCTCTCTCTGAAATAAACAAAAATATTATACACACACACACACATACACACACACACACACACACACAAGGGTCATTAAAGACAAGAACATTCTGAGAAATTGTCATGGTCAAGAGGAGCCTAAGGAGCCACAACTAATAGAATGTGGTGTCGTGGAGGACAGACCTGGCGAAAGACGTTAGGAGAAAACTAAGGAAACCTGAATAAACTCTGGGCTTTCATTTGCAATGCTGAATTAATGCCGGTCCACTAATTGTAACAAAAGTACCATAGTCATGTACGCCTTCAAGAGAGGAAACTGAGTGTGGGCTATAAAGGAACTCTGTGCTATCTTCTCAATTTTTCTGTAAATCAAAAGTGTTCCAGAAAGTTATATAAACTGTTCTAAAAATAGTTTGAAAATAAAAACTAAAGTTATTACTTGAACTTCAGTTGTTTAAACTTTTTACTCGTTTATCCATTTGTTTAGTTGCTCATTCTGCTACTTAAAGACCTTTCGTGGTGTTTTTTTTTTAATATCTTTTTTTATTGATTTGAGAGCGAGGAAGGGAGAGGGATAGAGATAGAAACATTGATGAGCTGCCTCCTGCATGCCCCTTACTGGGGACAGAGTCTGCAACCAAGGTACATGCCCTTGGCCAGAATGGAACCCGGGACCCTTCAGTCTGCCGGCTGATGCTCTAGCCACTGCGCCACACCAGCTAGGGCAAGGCCTTTTGTTTTTTATAACTGCTGGAGAGGTGCCTGCTGGGTGCTACGTCTGAACGGATTGTAGACACTTGGGTTCTGAATAAATTGTGTTTGAATAAAGGTCATAATGATTGTTTCTTTTTATTCTTACTCTAAAAGAAAATAATATGTCTGGCATCTTTTAGTTGTACCTTTTTATCTGCATCTCTAATAAACAAACATTTTTCTCAAAAATACATGGAAGCGCATAAATGTTCTTTTAAATTCACAGTGGCAAGGTATCTTACAACAACCTATGAGATCAATATCCTGAAATGAGGTGCCTAAGATACTTAATCCTCCCGGCATTATTAGAGCAAATGCAACCATAAAAGGTGTCAAAAGTCGGATTCATTCATAAGGAGTTGAGACGCCCTCCCGTGGGTCCCAGGGGAAGAGCTGGGAGATGTGCTTTGGGTTCTTTAGGACGCAGGCCAGGGTTCAGGTATGTGCCCACATGTCTTTCAGAGGCCTCCCCAAGAAGGACAGGTGAGGAACGCATGGGCGGCGCTGGACCGGGCCTGCTCTGCTCCAGGTGCTGGAGGAGACCGTCACAGGGGGTGTCCTTTCCCCACGGATCTGCAGGCTGCATCCCGCCCAGGTGAGGTCAGGGCCTGCACGGGCTCAGCGGGCACTGGCGCTCTGCCGCCTTCTATCTTGTGGAATTAGGGGCGTGGGGGCAGCTCCCAGAGACGGGTGATGGGTGGAGGAAAGCCGGCAAACTGAGGCCTGCACAGAAGCTCCCTGGCGGGGCAAGAGGATGCGCTGGGCAGGCCTTACAGGGTAGAGGGACAGGGGGAGGGAGCCTGACTCATCCCCTCCGAGTCTAACTTTGACTACCTGGTCTCTGTGTGTCTACTCTCCCCACCCGTCACTAGCCAGCCTCTTAGACCTGAGAAGGACCCAGGTGGGAGCGTTTTCAATCCCCAGGTGGTTCTCACAGCCACTGAGAATCAGGCCTCCTTATAGTGCCCTCTTCTCTTAGCCGGACTCCCAGAACTCATGACACATCCCAGGGCTGTTTTGCTCTTTACCTGATGGATTCTCCTGATGTGATTGCCCAGCTCCGTGTGCCCTGAGCGTTACTCCAGCCACTAGAAGGTCAGTGCCTGGCGGTCCCTGGGTCACCCCTTCCAGTTTGGTGCCCACGAAAGGGAATTGGATGTATTGACTCCTTGCTACGATGAGTGTTGGGTGGGGCTGTGTGGCCCCAGGCCCCCTCCCGAATTGCAGGCCAGCTGACCCCATGACCGCTAGCTGGGTGGTCTAGTCAGGGGCGAGAGGGGCCTCCAGGAACCCCTGAACAAACCAGCCTCAGGGAGGGCTGTGGACAGGCCAGCTCCCTTATGGACTTGCCTCGTCAGCAAGCACCTACCTCAGGATTCTGAATTTTCTTTTGTTGTCGTTGTTCATCCTCACCCAAGGATATTTTCCATTGATTTTTAGAGAGTGGAAGAGAAGGGGAGAGGCAGAGAGAAACATCGATGTGAGATAGATCAATTGGTTGCCTCCTGCACGGGCCCCGGCCAGGGCCAGGTATCACACCTGCAACTGTGGCCCTTGGATTCAAACCCAGGACCCTCCAGTCCACAGGCTGACACTCTAGTGAGCCAAACCGGCTAGGGCAGGACTCTGAATTTTCCACTGGAAAACCACACACTGTTTTTAAAGACACTTAGCTCAGAAAACATATCATCTTTCATAATTCAGCAGTTTCCACAGAGCACTTAATCAGAAAGCTAGGAGTTGGCTGTATCAGATGCCGTGTTATACTCTGGCTACTAAAATGAACCATTTCATCTTTTTTAATCAACTGAAAAAACAACAACCCTGTGATTCCTCTTCCAATTTTCCTTTTAACTTGAGGGAAGAGCAACGTGGGAGGGCTACGTTAACAATTTCTTGTTGCCAGATCTGGACGCAGACATGCAGAACTGGTAGGATTGACACACATCACTGGGCCTGAGCATCCCCTGGGGTGGGCGGGGTGGGGTGAAGCAGAGGAGAGGCGAGTTTCTCTGGCATCCCCAGACTCCTAGGAGGCTAGCAAGGCCACCATACCTTTTCCTCTAGTCAACAACACTTGTTGCTTTATTCCGGCCTCTTCTGTGGAGAACAGAAGCCCTAATTCTTCTGGCAGCTGCTCCTTCCTTCTCCAGAGTAGACTCTAGAGCAGCCGTGGGCAAACTATGGCCCGTAGGCCAGATCCGGCCCGTTTGAAATGAATAAAACTAAAAAAAAAAAGACCGTACCCTTTTATGTAATGATGTTTACTTTGAATTTATATTAGTTCACACAAACACTCCATCCATGCTTTTGTTCCGGCCCTCCGGTCCAGTTTAAGAACCCATTGTGGCCCTCGAGACAAAAAGTTTGCCCACCCCTGCTCTAGAGACATGATTCTCAGACTCCAGCTGATTGATTGGTCCAGGGTGGCTACTGATTCAAGAGGGGCAGATCAGAGGCCTCCCCTGGTGTCTTTGAACTGAACTTGCAAGGAAAGTATGCCTTTCTCCTGGCCTGGATATATTTTTTAAAAATATATTTTTATTGAGAGGAAGGAAAAAATAGAAACATCAATGATGAGAATCACTGATCAGCTGCCGCCTGCACGCCCCACACTGGGGATTGATCCTGCAACCTGGGCATGTGCCCTGAATCGAATCTGGGACCCTTCAGTCTGCAGGGTGACTCTCTATCCACTGAGCCAAACCAGGTAGGGCTTTTCTTTTCTGTTCGATAAGATTAGGCCTGAGCCATTTCATAGATGACAAACAAGGAGGTCTCATGACAAGACAAAAGTAGCTAGCACTCCATCCTGCCTCTCCAGCAGCAGGACAGAGCTGTCCAAGGACAAGGCCACGTTGGACAAAAGGACATTGCTCCTAAAATAAAGGAACTAGAAGCGTTATTAATGACGCCTCAAAAGACTCAGTTATCTGTTGCCTTTAATTAACATCTAAATAGATAACATATTCTTCTATAATTATAACATGGAAATGTCTATGAACAAAATAGATAAATTTTCTGGCAAATGCCTAGGAAAGAATGGTCAAGTTCATCCAAGGTTTTAAGCAGCAGCATCTTTGCAGCCGGGGCGTGGTCAGTGTTTGGGGACAGAGGTAAATATCCGCAATCCGTGCATTCCTTTGATTTCTTCCTTCAGGGCCTAAGGAAGGAAAAGAGCGTCATCATTTCCTTTGTATATGGCACTGGCTACAATGAGTCCCTCAGGCAGTATCTTCATACAGCTCTCTATCTGTAAGACACTGTGCACCTTCTTGCAGCACTTTTTCCTTTTTTTGGAAAACAATTTCTTTTTTTAAATCAGAATCTAACCTGGCTCAAAAATCAGAGGCTTAAAAAGGCATACAGTGACAGCTCCCTCCCACACCCGCCCTCTGTCCCCCAGTTTCCACCTCCGTCCCCCAATAGCAGTGCTTCTCAACCTTCTGGCCCTTTAAATACAGTTCCTCATGTTGTGACCCAACCATAAAATTATTTTCGTTGCTACTTCATAACTGTAATGTTGCTACTGTTATGAATAGTAATGTAAATATCTGATATGCAGGATGGTCTTAGGCGACCCCTGTGAAAGGGTTGTTCGAACGCCAAAGGGGTCATGACCCAGGGGTTGAGAACCGCTGCCCAATAGAGAACTGCTGTTAGTTTCTATGCGAAGACTCAACATTGCATAGTCAAGCTAATATAAATATATATTCCCACACACACACTACCCTTTTAAAACAAAACGGTAGCACTTTAAACACACTGTTCTACACTCTGCTTTCCCCCTCACCACTGGAGAGCGTTCTGTATTGGCATAAAGAGCACATTCCTTGTTTGCGTCAGCCTGGCATGTGGATCTATCGTAACTGTTCAGCCCAGCCCATCATGATGAACTATTAGGCTGTTTTTTGTGTTTTGCTATTTCAAACATCAAGCAGCTGTTCTTTAAAACCACACTATTTAGCACAAATAGCCCACTTTTACTTGAAAAATAAAGTTGTAAAATATGAGACTCAGCACCAGGGCACAAACCTGAATGAGCCACCACAGCCAAATTGCATTCATTTCTCTGGCTTCCAAGAGGAAAGCTACTGGGCCCAGGGAGGCATGGACCACGGGAGTGTATAATCAATGCAGAGGAAGAGTCCACGTCCTTTACATTAGGCCCAAATCTGACCATCACAGTTGGGTGGACATTCCCCCCCCCCCCCCATCTGTCCAGCCATCTCCCTTCTCCCGAGGAACAGCTGCTTTCCACGTTGTGGGCTGCTTGCTGGTGGGACTGCCAACTGGCCTGGCATGGAGGGAGCTATGCCCTGACCCAGCCTGAGTGGTTCAGGTGTGACACCGGCTCCACGATGATCCAAAGCCAGATTTAGAAGGGAACCAGCCCACACAGGGCTGACAGGGCCAAGGAGCCTGGTATCCAGGATGCAAGGCAGACAATGCTGGAGTCAAGGGTGGAGGGCATTCATCCCTGCCAGGCGGGTCGGGAGGCAGCACTTGAGCTGGGCAGAGGAGGGAGGAAGGGAACCCTGCAGGGGGTCCGATCTGGGCGGAGCTCATGCACAGAAACCACGGGGCAGGGGCCAAGGGAGGGTGTGTGCTGAGACAGGTGGGGGGCCTGGAACAGCAACCTGGGACGCCTGAACGTGACGTAGAAGGGGTCACAGAGGGGCTCTCATGACCAAAGCAGTGCTTTACAAACGCTAAACTAGTTCACAACGTTGAAGACCTTCCAGAATGATGTCAAATATCCCTGCTGAAGGCGGCAAGTTTACAGACACGCCCCAGGGTTAAGGCTTGTATTAATTCCAGGTGAAATAAGCGTAGATCATAAGTAAACCTGGACTTGCCTGGTTAAAGCTGATGTTTCAGGCCCCTATGGTGCCTGTCACTGGGTCTGGGGCAGCTGGAGCAATTCTCAGCCATGCTGTGCCCCAATCTGTACAGCAGTCCTGGAGAGAGGCTCAAAAAATCTTCACATCTACAAAACGTATCTTTCGGCACGCCTACACTTACCAATACTATCCAAGATGTGACCACAACAGTAAGCACTGGCTCATACAAAAACACGACAAAACTATTAGGTGGCTTGTTTTCTGTTTTGAAAAGAAGCTGTAATTGTCCACAATGGATTCCAGATAGTTCCCGGTTACATTTCCTCATTCCTGGGTCCTGTTGGCATGACTGTGATACTGCATTATTCTTTCCTACGACTGCCAGTCAAATGCCATGCCGCCCGGCAGGCCCTCCCGGATGTAGGGACAGGGGTGGAGGGGCAAAGGGGCGCTGTTCCTCTCTGACCTGATTTACCATCTGGTGCTGCTGGACAGTCCTCTTCTCCTTAAATTCTTCTGACTCGATTTGGATTTCATACATCGCCCCACAGCCTCCTGAAATAAATGCAGTTTGAAAGCGTTTCCATTATTAAGTCAGGGCTGCCACAGCCCGGCAGGTCCTTGGAGTCCCGCACAGTCTCGAGGTCCGGACACTACTGTTCAGCAGAAAGTTGCTAAGACTGTTAGAAACAGGCTACGGCTTAGGGTCTGAGCACACACACCTCCCGGCAGGCTGCCCCCATCCAAAACGCGTTTCTCCTTTTGCTAGGCAGGTGCCCCACCCAGGGTTATCACTTGGGGGGAGGAAAGATAAGGCACGAATGCGGGTTTTCCTGGTATTTCCTTTTATTAAGCCAACAAATGCCGTGGAAGAGGGTGGGAGGGACTGAATTTCAGTGTTCCACCTTCAAACTATACTGGCAATCGCTTTTTTTAGTGCAAAAATACACTAAAATTTGGTTTGAAAACTAGACTACTATCCAAAAGACAAGAAAGGAACAAGGATGTGCAGGAGAGACAGGGACATAGGAGCTGCAGCCCTGGCCAGTGTTGCTAAATGGTTAGAGAGTTGGCCCAGCAACAGAAGGGTCACGGGTTCGATTCCCAATCAAGAGCACGTGCCTGGGAGGCAACCAATCTCTCACTTGGAAGCTTCTCCCTTTCTCTCTCCGTCCCTCCCTTACACTCTTTTAAAAAAATCAATGGAAAAAATATCCTCGGGTGAGGATTAATAACCACAATAACGCTGGCCGCTGGCCGCCAGGCGGGTCTCTCTCCAGCGCCTCCTGGCCTCCTGCTCTGTAAGCAGTACCGAGTGTCTCATCAGGGCGTCAGCAGGGAGGGAGCAGCTTTCTGGTGAAGTGCTCGAGGCAGAGCTTGTGGTGGACTCATCCACACCCTGACCAAGCTCTGTCTCCATGTGGCTGGGGAGCTAGTGCTGTGACTGATGAGAAAAAGAACCCCCCAACCTTCCCCCCCGCCACCCCACCCCTGCTGTTACACCAGGCCACTGTGTGCAAAGTGCTCTGTTACCCTTCTCTTACGAGCCCCGAGTCCAAGCTTTGCTTAAACCAAGGCTGCCAGCCTCAATGCCCTTTCTGTACTCGTCCCAGGCTGGGCAGAGTCAGACAGGAGGTCAAGTTCCGGCTCTGCCTACGTGGGTCTGGGCAGGTACAGGGCTGGTGATATCAAGGCCTCAGCATTGCCGAGACCCCGGCAGAGTGCGCACCCCACCTCCCATTCCAAAGGATCTTCAGATTGATTCATCTCTAGTTCCCAGAACAACACTTTTTTCTAAACCTTCTCCCAGTGTTACGTTCTCAGGAAAGCCTGTGGGCTGTTGTGGCTGTGCAGAGCTGCAAAGACCGAGTCTGGGTGTGGGAGTCAGGTGCCCGCCCACTGCCAAGCTTCCCCCCTCCCCCCTGGATGGGTGTGTCTGGCAAAAGGCCCTATCTCCCCTGTCCTGTGGGTGCAGGAGGTGACTGCCCAGTCAGCTCCTACCACAAGGCCGGCCTGAGGAATGCACGGTCTGGCTGGGGCAGGAAACTGGCTCAGGCCAGAGTCTGCCCTGGGTCCTGGTTCGGCCGCCTCCTCCCTGTGAGGGGCTGGGCAGGTTCCTGGGCCTCCCTGGGCTCATCTCTTCGTGAGGAAAGCGAGGCAGTTACTTTCCTCCAAGGGACAAACTCCCCCTGATCCGCTCCAGCTCTGACGTTCGAGGGCATCAGGAGAATGTGGGGGGATTTCTGTAAAGCCCATCTGGCGGTCAAATTAAAGGCCGGACCAGAGCCCAGGGGTGACTGAGAGGGAACTCATCCCCACAGTTTCCCTCCATGGTTCTGTAGCCCCTCTTCCACATCTGCCCCAGAGCCACCCACATTAAGGAGCAATTAAGTGCCTTTTGCTAAGCCCACCGCCCCCTCCCCGCCCTCTGCCCCTCCAGAGAACAAAATCCTATCAAACTCTGCGGGAAGATGAGGAAACCTTACCTGAAATGTCAGTGACTTTGATAGTTGTAGCTCGAGGAAAGCTTTCTTTGAGGATCTGGGTTACTTTGAGCTCCCCCTCAGACTGCGAGGCAAACATCCGCTGGGTGCAGCGAAGAGGAAGCTGCCACAGAACAGAGAAGACAGAGAAGAGGCATGGCTGAGCAGGATGACGCTGCCCCCAGGGGACCACGGTGCAGGACCCACCTGCCATCTCCCCCACCCCCCGCACCTCCCCCCTCCCCAGCAGGGGCAGCGCGGCCCTGGGCTAAGTCATCTAAGCTCGCTGGGATGCAGAATCAGCTTTCTTGGGGTGGGGATGATTATAAATAACTCATTTGGACTCTAGAGACAAGGCCCCAAACCTAATTCAACAGATGTCTGACTTGCCATGATGATGCCGGGAGAGAGAGTATCATGATGCCAGTTGTACAGGTGAAGACACTGGCATTAAGTAATATGCCCAAGGCTGGATCCATTAGTAAAAGGCAGAGCTGGGAGAGGCCAGGCAGCTGTGCCCCGCTGGCCAAGGTGCCACTGACCAGGACTGGTGGGGCCAAAATGCCACCGACCCTTTAGGCCTGATTAATATTCCAGCCTCTCCAGTGGGATATGACCTTGTGACCTACGGTTCAATAAGCCAGTGACCTTTTGCAACATGAATTCTCACTGGGGAGAAGCAGAATTCTATTAAACCACCTGAAGGAGAAACACTTTTAGATTATTTGCCATTGGCAGCCACTCTCCCCCGTCCCCAAACGGCTACCACCGGGACCCAGTGCTTCCGAGGGGAGCGTATCGCAGTCCTTAGGGGTGAGGCACAGAAAGCCAGGCCGGCAGCCCCTTGGCTGAGCTGGTGCTGAGAAGGGAGGCGTAATATAGGGCATGCCAGGCCTTGAATGTCAGGCTAAAGATGTTGGACTCAGTCAGGCGTCTTGGTGCCAAAGTCACCTGCACAAAGCGGTGTCTTCTGAAGCTCGTCAGGAAAGATGCCCAGGTAAGAGGCAAAGGCAGCAGCGCCAGCTCGGGTCCCTGCACTGTTTATCCCGTGCTGGTGCTAAAGGGACCTCCCCCACCCTCAGTCCTGGTGGCCCTCAGGCCTTTCCTGATGGCCCAGAGCAGGGTCCTGTGTGATAGAGTCTCCGGGCACCTTCTTTAAAATGACCACCTGGTCTCAAAGGCCACGACCGAGTCTGTCCTGTTATTGCAGCCCTCCAGGGCTGAGCCGGGGCAGGCCCTCGGAGGACCTGGGGATGGATGATGGATGGATGGATGGATGGATGTATGGATGGATGGATGAACAGATGGATGGATGGATAAGCAGGGAAAGGACCACATGGATGGATGGATGGATGGATGGATGAGCAGGGAAAGGACCACACAATTCAGGACATGCCTACTGGACACCCACAAAGAAGTTTGGCAGGCAGCTGAAATGCAGGTCAGCAGAAAGAGCTGGACTTACACTGAGTGCTGTGTGAAGGGAGAAAATGTTGTGGATCTGGGAAGACTGGGTGGGGGCGGGGTGGAGTGGGGGAGGAGGGACAAAGGCAGAAAATAATGAGGTGGCGGGCAGAGGGCAACCACCAAGGAGTGCGGTGGTTGTCAGCGCTGCAGATTTCTCAGGAGAAGCCTTTCCTGCGTAGCAGATGTGTGGGCAGCGGCCTTTAAACAGGCAACCTACTGGCAAAGTCCCCAGCTGCCGCCGGGCCACGCTGACAGTCACCCGTAGACCTGCCAGGGGAGCGGGTCC